CTTCATCCTCGCGTGCTCGACAAAGAATTGAATTATACGGCTTGCAGTAATGCCAATTGGGCTATTATAAACAATTACTTACCAGGAAATGCTAACAATTTGCACTATGGACAAGCTATTGCTATGGATGGGCAGACTAGTCCGTTCCGCGCCAGCACCGTGAAGCTCAGAGTGCATCTACCACTCACCTGCCTTCAATCATTTACTGGGATATGGAATGTGATTGGGACTGAGATTTCCTGCAACGGAATAGCTACTGAATATACAAAGATCCCCGGTTGCTCTGAGACTCTCATGCGACCGCGATCAAGGATGCATAGGCAATGCAACAAGCACCAAAGAACTACACTCGCAGGAGTTCAATCAGGCGCCAGACGTCAGAACTGACTACCATAGCTCAATTATGTCGCACATGGAGATGGGGATGGTGTTACGCATTATTTTTTTCCGACTGGCTTGAAGCTGCGGCTCGGAAATATCCAGATGGACTGCCAGGGCACAGCAGCGCAGAACGGCACAATTCTTCATGTGATGGTGGCTGGATCCGCTGCTCGGAGCCCAGACAAGTTCTATGCATTGAGGAGCACCAGAATCTATCTTGTCTTGATTTGGGAGTATGAAACGTAGGGCGTCTGGTCGCCCTCCCCATGCGGATGCTAGTCGGCTTGAAATCAAGTCGGATACCCAGTAGGACTCGTGCGACCCATTGATCAGCGCGCCTCTCAACCCAAGCAATGGCAAATATCTAAGAACGTGATTGTTATTGACTCGCTGAAAATACCTCCAATGCAGGCAGTTCAGGGTCGTGATGAATGAAACATGGAATTGGCTTTGGCCCGCCTTCACATGCTCCGATCCACCCTCTACGTCATTGCCATCATCATCATTATCGCTTCCGTCCGGTTTCCGCTGCCCTAGAAAAGCACCCCTCCCCGTTCCTGTTCTTCTATTCTAACATTAATGTCCCATTCTTTTGTTTTTACAGTGACCTATATCCATTGACTACAGTATCTTTGCACTAACCTCACTCGCTCAGCCAATCGCCACCATGGCGGAATCAGAGTCCGCTTTCTCGTTGTCGGCCTTTATCCGCAACCCCCTCCTCCAGTCTTTTACCATATGTTACATGCTCTTCCAGAACCTGCTTAACTGGATCTTTGCACCTAATCCGCCAAAGCCTTCCTCAATTGCCAATGGCGTTCCGAAAAAGCGAGTGGCCGTAATTGGAGCTGGTCTCACTGGAGTGTCTGCAGCCGCTCATTGTGTGGGCCATGGCTTCGATGTAGAGATCTTTGAAGCGAGATCGAAAGACAAGGGACTGGGAGGTATTTGGAGTGTAAGCCACGGCCATAAAAAACCTCATCTGGATGCCCTTACTAATTACACACAGCGAGTGAACTCTACCTCCTCCCTGCAGATCCACAGCATCATGTACCGCTTCCACCCGTCAGTGCAATACGACACAGCCTATCCCACCCAAGCAGAGATCAAAGAGCAGATCGTCGACCTCTGGAAGCGATATGGCCTGCAGAAACACACCACATTCAACACCCCAGTGACTTCCGTCAAACAAACAAAGAACGGCCGATGGATCATCAACAACGAGGAAGACAAATACGGCCGCTTCGACGGCATCATCGCATCCGTTGGCGTCTGCGGTGACCCGAAAATGCCAACAATGCCAGACCAGGAACGCTTCAAGGGCGAGATCTACCATTCCTCCGAACTCGACGGGAAACAAGTTGAAGGCAAAAGGGTCCTCATTGTCGGCGGCGGTGCCAGCGCCATCGAAGCCCTCGAATTCGCCGTGAAGTCCAAAGCCGCCCAAATCGACGTGCTCTCCCGCTCCGACAAATGGATCATCCCCCGAAACGTCTTCGTCCAATCCCTCCTAGCCATGAACATCCTCGGACAAGAAACCTCCCTCTCATGGATCCCCGAATCCCTCCTCCGCAGATTCTTCTACCGAGACCTCTCCGACATCGCCCCCTCGGGCGGCCTCTTCACCCAAACCCCCATGGCCAACTCCGAACTCTTCGAACAAATCCGCGACGGCAAAGCCCGCTGGCTCCGCGGCGACATCGTCACCCTCGAAGAGGACGGCGTGCGCTTCAACTTCCGCGGCAATGGCGTCCCCAAGGGCGGACCCGGCCACGAAGACCTCGTCCCCGGCGACGTAATCATCCTCGCCACAGGCTTCAAACGCCCCTCGCTCTCCTTCCTCCCCAATGACGCCTTCGAAGAACCCTACTCCCCTCCAAGCTGGTACCTCCAAGTCTTCCCACCCAAATACCCCAGCATCTGCGCCAACAATAGCACCTACGTCAACGCCATCGGCACCGTCGGCAACATGCACATTGGCATCTACACCAGATTTCTCCTGATGTTCTTGACGGACCCGCTGTCTCGTCCGACGGAAGGTCGCATGAGAACCTGGATCGATTTCACCCGATTCATGAAGAAGCTGTCGCCTGTTGGCGCATTCGACTTCTTCACGTACACTGAGCTCTTGTATTGGTTCGTGTTTTGTATCCTGGTTAACCCGTTCCGGTGGAAGTGGGCTCCCTTTGTCTTGTTTGGAGTCGGGTGGACGCTGCCGTTGGAGGTCGTCAAGCAGGAGGAGAGTTTCCGGAAGGAGTTGAGACGGCAGCATTAGAGTTGGAAAAGAGAGAAATGTTTTGGTGTGTTGGAGCTGTAGTGGACGAAAAGGTGATTGGGATCTCCTTGATGAACAGTTGGGAATAAGCCCTTAGGATACGGTGTTAGGGAATAGTGGATGTACCATGTCCCTGATGATGACTATGATGAATTGAATATTTACTACTAGCTATGTATGTGATGTATTATGACTTGCATGCAGTAATAGTGCATCAAATATGATTGATGATCGAATCAACTACTATGTAATATAGGAATTACCAGCTTAGATGAGGTTATTACCCCAGCTCTGCACACGTATAGCACGTAGAGTGAGAGATAGTGTTATCAGTTGGACAGGCAGTAAGTAGTAGTAGACACATTATGGCTAAAGACTGATTGATCAGCCGCAGTGCGACATAAAAAGAACTCGCCGTGGAAGATTCTGTACTACTAGTGCCTAACTTCACTACTACGTTTCTTCCATAGACATTAAAATTTACTTCATAAGTAATTTTCCATATATCTCCTCTATCTCCAATATATCCAAGAGTCTATACTTCCACTAATTCAAAACAACTACATCCACCTACCTATATAGCAACAACATCTACTTCCCCTTCTTCAACAAATACTCACCTCCCCACCACGCCCGATACACCCCATACAACCCACTCACCGGCCACACATTCCACATCACATTCCCAACCCACTGTCCCCATCCCATCCCAGCTTGCCTTTCCTTCTCTGTGGCAGATGGATTCAAATCCACTCGCACCTTCTCATACAGATTCTTCAAGTAGCCCGCATGATACTTCTCCCGGAGGGCATCATACCGCTTCTTGTCATAGATATCCCAGAACTCGTCCTCTGTGTAGTACGCGCACGCGTACAACCACTTCTTGCCGCCCAGGTCGCGGACCTTGTGCTCGAGACGGCGATTTTGGGCGATGAACTGGGCGCCGCGGTAGGGAGAGGGCGCCCAGAGGCCGAAGTTGAGGAGGTATTCATCTTCTTCCTTCTCTGCCGGTGAAGAGGGAGAGGGAAGGGAGGGTTTGCCGCGGCCGATGATTTGGGGGTTACTTGTGCTCGTCTTGTCAGTGACTTTGAGAGGACAGAGCCAGATTGGGTATGCGCCAAAGTTCTCTGGTTCGTCGAGCCACGTGACGAAGGTGTCCGCGGAGGAGTATGGGACGGCTACGTCTTGAATGATGTATTGGTTGGAGTGTCCGCTGGCGTGCAAGGCGTGGTACATGACGCGCGTGTGCATGAAGTAGTCGAGGAGGTAGCGGGTAATGCGATTGAAGGGTGTTATGAAGTATTTGTAGGCGTAGCGGCCGGTCCAGAAGGCACCGCGGTCGTAGCGGAAGAGGTAGTCAGGAAGGGGCACGAGCTCGGTCGTTGGTTCTACAGGGGCTGAGGATGGGGGCGTTACACGCCCGGAGCGTTGAGCATGGAGATAGAACCAGGGATCGTGGGGACGGGTGAAGTGTTGAATCTTATACCTCTGTGTCTTGTCGTCTTTCGAGAGAGAACCATCGCTCAGTCGCCCCGCGCATACCACTACATGGTCCTTGGCGAAGACTATGCCGTCCAGATAATCAACATCGGGGTCCTGGGTCTTCTCATGGAATATCTGCCGCGCATCGCTAATGCTACGAGCCGGAATGTAGGACAATTCGACAAACGACTTAGCGTCGCGACATTGGATTTCCAGCATTGTGATCACGCCCATGGTACCGAACGCGGAAGCTGCGGCATTGAACAACTCCGCATTTTCGGTACGGGAGGCCGTACGAATCTCCCCATTACCAAGTATTATCTCAATGCGAGTCACTGTGGCATCGAAGAAGCCGTGTCGGAAGGAACTGCTCTCGCCGGAGGTGCCGGAGAACCCCCCGCCTGCGGTGATGCCGGGAAACTCCATGACGACCAGCGGGACGAGGTTATAGGCGAGTGTAGCATTTAGGAGAGCATCCATTGGGACGTTGGGCTCCACCTGGATGGTTTTGGCAGCATGATCAACGGAGAGGACATTGGTAAGGTGAGCGGTACTGAGGGTATTGGTAGGGGTGAGACTGGCATTGCGGGTGGAATTGGTGCTGCCGTGGTATATGCGGAAGGAAGTGCGGGTTTCGTGAAAGCGGGCGATTTGGGCGCGGAGAGGATTGATGCGATCGGCGTGGGTGGCCATTGTGAAGAGGAGGGAGGTGGGATGGAAGGGCAGGAGGGAAGAATAGCGGGACTCGAGGTAAACGTGCGGAGATCCGGATAAGCTGGGGACAGATTGGCGGTTGCCTGGTGTGGGGATGATATCATAGCCAGGGGATGGTATGATGGATCGCCAACCTCCTCCAAATCCTCTAATTTTCAACCACAATCCGCTGCTCCAAGCGCGGCGAGATACCTGGTGTCCATGTTGGTGTGAATTCTCCAACTTCATCCGCGTCATTAATTGGCGATGGCTGCAGCCCCGTCCGATGCATCCATGTCCGGACGGCCTTGCGCGCCAGACGCAGGCGCCGTTCCTCTTCCGTAGCGGACCGTGCTGGCAGAGTTACATAGTTCGTAGTCGGACGAGGAGAGGTCAGGATGTCGGGGTCAGTGTCCGAGTCCGAGTCCATTGACTCGTCCTCCCCGTTCAAGCCCACCCCTCGGCTCTCCGTCTCCTCGGTCTCCACAATCTCGGGGAACCGACCATAATAGTAGTTCTTCGACCGCGACAACGGGGGCCGATACGGCACCTTGTTTGACTCGGGAGACGGCTGGCGGGATGGCGGTTTCAGCCATCCATTGCAATGGAGGCTATCATGCACGTTGCTCCAGTGTCGGGTCATGCTGGGACCCCAGCGGCGCCATCGACCCAGCACTCGCAAACTCAGGAAATACTGGCGGAGTAGTGTGCTGATCAGGATGCCACTCTCTTCATCTACGATCTCTTCGACTTCGCCGCCCTCTGACTGCACCAGCAGAGACGCAAACCCGTCTTTCCCACGAGCCATGTATCCGCGGGTTGCCAATGTGTACTGCCCATCGAAGTCAATTGGCTCTCCGCCGACCTGGGCCCAGTTGATGCGGGAACCCGAAGGGGCCGAGGGGTTGTAGCCAAAAGCAATGTTCGATACCTGGGTAAACCGTCCTTCGAGCGCTGGAAGCTGGCTCACTCCATTCTCCAGGGCATCAAAGAGCGCACGACCCTTGATGCGCAATAATACGACCGGATCTTCAAAGGGGAAGCAGTTGAGGATATCCTTCAGCCGCAGGATCCCTGGCGGGTAAATTTGGTCACCACGTATAGTCCCGCCAGCCATCATCGCGCAGTCTGCCCCATAGTAAAACCGCATGAGGTCGCACGCAAAGTTCCCCAAATTCGACTCCTTCTGACGCACAGTTGAGAATCGACCATCCAATGCGACCGAAGTATACCCGATCGGCTTTTCTAATTTCGCCGCCAAGCTAGACGTCAACCGATTTACCATGACCGTCGTTGCAGGATCCTCCGGAATTGACCGAACGATATCCCGGCGCACGATGCTGAAGTCCCATCCTTCACCATCCTCCTTGCGCCACGCCTCAATGTAGCTAAGTTGCTTGAAGTCCGTACCCGACCGGAGAACATGCGTGCCGTTGACGACGGCATGGGCATAGAAATGATCGTGGCCACCTAAGATAATATCAATCATTCCCGGTGGAAGCTTCTGAGCCAGCTTATGATCATTCGGTTCACGTTGGTGGGTGACCGCGACAATCAATTCGGCGCCTTGTTCACGCAGACGCGGGACCAGCTCCAGCGCTGTCTTGTACGCAGACTTATAGACGAGGTTCGGAGGAAGGGCATTGATCGTTCCGAGCCTGCCCAGAGTTAGCCTACCCACCCAAGTGTACCATAAACCAGGCCATCAGACATACCATTCCCTCTCGCCCAAGCCAATGACACCGACCTTGATCCCGTTAGACGAGGTCAACATCAACGTCTTCTCGCAATTCGCAATCGGCACATCCTTTCCCAGATCCAGATCCAGAACATTGGCCAGCAGCCACGGAAACCGACATTGTGTACGTAGATGGCGGAATTGAGCGACACCGAAATCGAGATCGTGATTCTGTCAGGACCCTGTCAGCTTCCCCCCAGTGCAGCACGGATGTAGTTCTAACATACACCAACACAGGCTACATCTGTCCCCGCCTTATTCAGAAACGGCACCATGTGCCGCCCTTTGGTGACCGTGCTTTCGAGACTGGGGTTGTAGGCATCGCCGGAGAAGAAGGTCAGGACGTTGGATTGTTCGGAAAAAGAGGGATCGTTGCGGTAGTAATTGACGACGGATTGAAATCGGGCTACGCCGCCGACGGGTTCTGCGGAACCTTCCCTGAAGAATTGTCAGTTGCTGTCGTTGCGAAGTGTAGATAGTTATTGTGTAGGCATTGGGGAGCATACTCCACGTGGTAGACGTCATTGTAGTGGATCAGTCGGAGGTGCGGCGGACCGGTCCTGGAGGAAGGGTGGGTGACGGACAAGCCGTCGGTAGGGACAGAGGGCATTCCTTGGGGAAATATTAATGACGAGTATAGTAATGATAACAATAACGACTGACAGAGCGAGAGAGTGTGTGAATGGGAGGAAAGAAGGCAAGAGAAACAAAGAGGGAGGATGAGGGGCATCCATCCCATCCAGGCAAGGGACATCACGGGTCCAAGTCCAATCAGGCACCGCCCATTAGGGAGGGTGCTGATCGGATCGACGGCAAGTCCGTGCGGAGTCCCTGACTAACAACAACATTGTAACATAACTCCCGGCTGCGCTGGCCACCTGCCCGCACTGGCCACCCACCTACTACATATCTAATATATTCAAATCTATATATAAACATTCTTTCTCTTTTCTTCTTTCCTCTCCCCCCCTTTCTCTTCTTTACTTAAAGCTATTTAACCACTAATTATACTATTAATATAGTTTAAAATATTAAAAAATATAGTAGAACAGGAAGGCAGGATTCTACTTATTATTAAGACTTTAAAAAAATATTAAATTAATAGTATTTATAATACTGCATACTTCTTTACTATTTTATATTTTACTTTATAAGATTAATTATATAATACTTTATTTATTTAAAAGACTTCTAATAGCGCTCAGAAATTAACTTCTAATAAAAAAAAATATCTTATATAATAAATTTTATTATTAGATTAATATAAAATATCTCCCTGACCTTCTTAAATATAAGATATAACTAATATTTTATTTTTTAAAAGAGATAGTTCTAATTCTTAAAATATTAGTTGAAATTAGGTCTCTTGCTTTATTAAATAATATAATTAATTAAAATAAAGATTTATAAAATATTATAATTATTAATAAACTAAGTATAAGAATTTTAAGATAATATAAGAATAATTTAATTTTATTTAAATAATGATTCTCTAATACAAGATTTAATTAGATAATATCTATAATTTTAATAAAATAGAATTTATAATAAATATTATTAAAATTCTGTAAATTATTATCAGGTATAAAATTAAAAATAAATTATTATTTATATAACTAGAAAATCAAGAATAAATAATTTTAATTAAATATATTTAAGTCTTTGAATTAATTTTATTTTTAATTTTAATTTTTAAAAGTAAGATATATTTATAAATATAATTTTAAAATACTAATCTATCCGCAGATTAGAGGATTAAAGTTAATAATAATAATTAAATTATTAATTTTATTAATTTATAATAATTTAAAAAATATTTTATTTTATTAATTACATACTCTGCTAGTTAATCTTGATTATTTATTTTAAATAATTATAAAAATTATCTAACTTCTGAATTTAATAATCTTTATATATAGAATAATATTATACTTATTTATATATCTTTATATTTATTTTATTTATTTTAATCTTTTAATATCAGCTGTTTTAGTCTTCTTAAATATATATATAGCTATTTAGTTAAAAATAAAATATATCTTAGATTTAATTATATTAATAAGCTGGACTTCTTTAAATATTATTTTTAAATATAATCTGATATTTTAAATAAGTATAATATAATTAATAATTTTAGAATTACTAGTCTTGTTCCCCTAGATTCTGATTAAATTTTTAAAAAATTAGAAATTTAATTATAAATACTAATTATTTTAATTAATTAAATAATTAATTCAGTATTCTAGATTTTCTATAATTTATAATAATTTTAAAAGCATGAATCTGTACTTATAGAAATTCTTAATAAATATATTAGAAATCTATCTTTATTTATAAAAGTATTTATAAATCAAGTTATCAAAGACTGTGAGTTAGTAATAGATAATATAATAATTTTAATAAAGAAGAACTGGGATTTATATATTATATATAAAAAATAATTTTAAAAAAAAAAATAATTAAAATAATAGATAATCTTTAAAAAAGATATCTTAATCTAGAAAATAAGAATTAAATTATAATAACTAAAGAAGATTTAGATAGAAAAAATAATATTTTAATTATTTACTTAGATATTTTCCTGCTATAATAAATACTATATAATTAATTACAGAAAAAATCAGTGTTCAAACCTCTGTAATAAGTAATAATATATATATTTTACTAATAATAATATTATTTAAATAACTTCATTCTTGCTTGCGTTGGGTGTGTAGTAGATGGATGTATAGTAGATAAATATATAATAGATGGATGGCTGGTGCGGGCGGGTGGCCAGCGCGGCCGGGAGTTACATTATCCAATTTCACAATATGATTATAACCATCTAACTACCTACAATATATACACAGTATCCACCACTATCCTCCCCATCAGTCAACAACATACCCTTCCGTACCCTCATCCGTTCTCTCAATATTCAAATCCGCCCACTCCACCCCATTCAGAACCGCCACTCGGATCGGCACAATAGCCAACTTCTGCTTCACAATCTCCTGCTTCTCTAGCGGAAGACTATCCACCACGGACTGGGGCGGTCCATGCAACTTCATACTCAGTTGCACACCACATATCTTGCAGAATTGGTGTCCTGTGAATTCCCTTCCAAAGCGATACTCTGTCAAGTTCTCTTCGCCGTGGAGAGTAACCTGTGACCGGTGGGGATATATACAGATATTGGCGTTCTGAGTAGATTAGTCAGGGCAGATTGCTACTTATGATATGCGATGACAGGTAATTGGATCAATACCCGCTGGCAAATACTGCAATTATCCTCCTTCACTTTAATCTCCGGTAGTGGTTTGGTTTGGACAGACAGGCGGACTGCGGTGCAGTGGCAGCTACCGGTGTAGATCTTCTCGGATGGGGTGTCAGTGTCAGTGTGAGTGAGCTCCGCGGGAGAACTTTCATGCAATATATTGCCCGGAGTATAACTACATGGATGAGTCGGGTATATCCTTAAAAGACGGCATGTTTGAGGGCGAACTCACCTCTCAATTCTTAACTTGAACGGATTAACTCCCACCAACGCCCGCGCCTTCATCGAGTAGCAGTCTGTCAATCAATACCATCCGCTGGACACATACTAATCAAGTCACTCACATTTACTCCCATCCCAACCTCCCCCGACGGCATCTGATGTCCCCTTACCGATAGCCCCGTCCCACATGTCGGACAGAACTAAAGTGAGACACGGTTTAACACTTAATCAACATCGTCAGTCCCTGGCAAGGTACTTACCATATGCTTTCCATGACCCCTATTACCAGAGTCGTAGCAAACCAGCTCCCCAGCCCCCCGTGTAACTTGAAATTCTTGTTCAGCAGGGAATAGCCACAGGTACCCCTTCTTGGCACAGAGTGTGCAATGACATGCATGCACTGCTTCCAAGGGGCGGAAGAGAGGTAGTTTGAATTGGAACCGGCCACAATGGCAAGTTCCCTTGTATTCGACATTGTCTGAGGTGGAGGTCATTGGGTGGGTTGGTTGATTGGTTGGGTTTGAAAGACCAGGGTACTTAGTTTGACAAAGGATGGGTGAGGTGAGTGATAAGCAAGCAATAAATGCAAAGTTATCGAGAAGAGACATGGGTGATGATATAAGGTGGGATTAACATCCTTGTCAACAGGTGGCTTATCGGTCAAATTGATTGGTTCCCTCGCTTGTGGTGGCTTATCTTCTGCTTACTGGTTTCTTGACGTTCCATCATCGTGGTGTTGTCAGATAACCAAAAGAGTAAAATCGAACGGTATTCATTAAAGCATTAGGTAAACACAGGTAGATCCAAGAGGAACGCATGCAGATAGATCAACTCATAGGCCGGTAAGAGCCTGGTGCGCGAAGAGGTAGCCACATAAAGGAGAAGATAAGCATTCCACAACATCAGTGAAATAGAGCGAGAACAACATAGACATCGTATGCTTTTAACGAAGCATGGGGTATTTCATCAATCATCATTCTTTGCAAGTACCCAACAAGGATACTTCTACTCATCGTGGGCAGTCATTAATCATCATACCATACAGCGCGTGCTGATCAAGCCCAGGACCCCCGTCGTGAGGTATCGGAGGAGCCGTCAATCCATCGGAAAAGATCGGTTCCGTCGTCCAGAACAACAATCTCTCCGTTCAACCAGTTGGTCGCCAGAACATCAGGCGGCAGGGTTGCAGGCAGTGCGGGAGGATTGACCGTTAGGATACGATCCAAAATGCTGGAGATGACCCTTCTTGCGCGCTGACAGACCTCATACATTCCATCATGCGGGCGGACAACATATTGCAGGTGCGAAGCGAAGACGGTCAGTTTCTGGATGACTTCCGATCGCCGGAAGACGGTGGCGGGGAGCTGGGACTGGGATTCAGCTTGGCAGAGCAGCTCGATTGCTAGAACGCCGGCCGCTGGAACACCGAAAGATGCAGCCTAAGGACAGGTAAGCATAAGAGGGCAGGGATCGAAGGGGTAACAGCACGCACATTATATCCAACATTGTAAGTGCCCGTTCTCGAGCCGATCTCCTTGCCGATAAGCTCAAGGATCGTGCTGAGAATGTTCTGTGACACACTGACTAGACCCTCGGATCCACTTTGTGCCCGGCGCACAAGAACGCGGTAGAGGAGGAAGTCATTGTAGAGGAAGTTGAGATACAATGGAACGAGAACGCTGCTATCGTTGGTGTCCGGATCACTCGGGCGCCAACGGAGGAAGCCGGGCAAGTCGTTCCATGTCTTGTGAGATTGCTGCGACACCTCCCTAGGATGCACATTAGCTCTGATCTGCAAATCTGCAATCGTTACTTGTGAACTGCGGCACACTTACTGGACTTTGCGCGGCAACTCTTCGATACGTCGGCTCAAAGATAGTTCAAGAATCTGTTCTCTCGTAGATCCAATAAGAAGGGCGATGCGCATCCACGCAGCCTGTCCCACAATCCCCTGGGTATTCCAGCCAGTCTTGTCAAGCAGGCTAATGGCAGCCTCGCGGACCTTTGGCTCCGCCAGAATCTCTTCGTAACTCAAGTCCAGAGGAAACTGCACATCGTAGTAGCGCCAGCTAATCTGAGGCGGCCTTCCCAAGAAAGTTGCCAGCTGCTTGTCAATACTGTAAGCCCCGGCAACTAGTCGCTTGCGGAGTTCAAGCAAGAAAAATGGAATGCGCTTCTCTTCAGGTGCATTATGACTGAGGGTAAAGACCGTCGTCGAAAGATCGGCCAGTCTTCTCCACGCCCGAGGATCTATATCTCAATTAGCAAAGATCCCAAATACCCAAATGAACAGACCAGAGAAGAACATACCATTCTCACCGCACACCAGCGTTAGCAGATGAATATGCTGAAAAAGTAGCCATCCCAACGGATCATTGACCGCCGTAGAAAGATCGCAGAACTGCAAACAAGTATCGCTCGCACTAACTGCCTGAGCAGCGAGCGACTTCTGATCCCTCGGCACATTCGCCTCACTGGAACGGATAGACCTCCAATCCCGCTCAAGCATAGCGCCCTGACCAACAATCGTAAACACCAGTCCAATACCCTCCCACCGTCCAGAAATTCGACGGATATAGTCCTCTGGCGACATAGTCGGCTGAACAGCCAGCGGCTTGGCACTATCATCAAAGATCTTCTGCGACCAGCGAAGCAAACTCGACTGCAAGTCCTTCGCATCCGCAGCCAGCGCCCCATGCAAATCCTCCAACGCCTCAAACATCCCGCTCACCAGCCGATGACCCAGGACACATCCCTCAGGCCACACCTCGACCGCCGTTTCAGACAGTCGCTCGTATAACGCGAAATGCTCGAACAGCATAGTGAGCAGTCGAGCGCCAAGCTGGATCTGCTTCGTATCGGGCCGAGCCGCGGAGGGCGCATCAATGACCAGAGAGCGTTTGAATTGATCTCCAATGTCGCTGAATGTCGCCGAATTATTGGTGGCGAAATCGAAAGACAATTTGTCGTCGCCGGCGTTGAATGAGGCTCGGTTCTGGAGAGCAGCGGAGTCGGGGCGGGGTTGGGCTGTTTGGGGACGTGGTGATGCGGTGGGTGAGGGAGCATTGTCCGAGTACCAGGTGCGAGAAGCCGGAACGGGCGTGAATACGCAGCTCTCTCCCTTACCGCGACGGACACAATTCTGGCATGTTGGGGTGGCACTATCGCAGCGGATTTTGGCTTTGCGGCAGGGCTCACATGGCAGAGCTTGCCCGTTGCGGCGGGAAGAAGTCATTGTCAGACTCGGAGAAAGGGAAAGGAATGACGGGGTAGGGAGGAAAGAATGAGGGTGGGAGAGTTTAATTGAAGGTTAACATTGCAGGGAAAGAAAGGGGGAAAAAGTATTTAACACCTGCAAGTCATGGATGTTAATCTCAGCTGGATTAAAATGCAGTGGCAGGAAATCAAGCAACAAACCATGAATCAATTAAATTATCCCGGAGGTTGGATGCCCCACTAGCCCCGATATGGACTAGTGGCCTCGTCATGGGATGCGGGGCCCCTGTTACTAATTTAAGTCATTGCTTCATTTAATTTGGATCGATCCAGATCATCTTGAAACCTTCATATACTATCGCTTTATGCCTGATATGCGTTGACTTTACCATTGCGTAGACAATCTAGATTTATTTCCATCGGAGTTGTTGTCACAATGAGGGCCCTACCCAAAGATATATTCGAAGCCTTCGTTAGGGTAGGATAATATGGACTTGTGGCATTTCATAACAAAACATATGCCAGTCATATTACTTTGTGCGCGCCAATCTTTACTACCTTATGATTAACCGCACAGCTAGCTTTAGGTGCTGTCGTGGCCAAATAGTTGCGTTATCAAGACCGCTGTCACTGCCGGCATTGATCCCAAATACTCATTCAAACACCTCATCCACTGTATATCCTCAACACCTGACCAGATATCTCTCATTTTTGATCAAGTAAAATAGTATGTTGAGTCATCCTTGAAAACAACCAGTCTTGTGCTCTCCGTGACTTGGCACGGATGAAGAGCGACCAAGGACGATTATCCTCGTTGGATATTGTCAGAAGATCTGTATGAAACCCCTATTTAATTCTCCCTGCTCTGTTGTTTCAACTGAATGATAAGGGGGTTTCAATGATCAGTCACATATCTGGCAATGAATGTCAGCTCCAAACATCACGCAGATGTTACCAACCACACTCACATCTTGCCTCCATGATGTACCTAGTACCCCCAAGACTGAGCGACGAATATATTCAACGCTGATTTTAAAGCCTATCAACAATTGCCTACTACTCTATACTAAATCACTAGTGCTTAGATCACAAACGAGGATTGGTTTGATACGAAAGTAGGCTACAAGGCAATAGGAGGGCTGATCTATAACCGAAGTTTGCCTAATGAAATTACTTAACTGATCGCCATGAGTTGCTTCCGATCCTGTAGAGACCGAGACAACATCCTTGAGCGCCCTCCACCATTTCGGAAACTTCCACGAATCTATTAGTACGAAGGTCTGCTGCATACCAATGTGGCAAGTACGACTTATCAATTCCGTCATGCCCTACCTCCAGAGGCCCTCGCTGATGAGAAGGCAATGATTGCCTGTTGTTCCTTCTATACGCCTTTTGGAAAAGGCTAATCTGCAGACACGGTCTTGTTAGGGCCAGCTATCTGCTCCCATATTGGTAGCCATGCTTCAACTTGTGAAGACATTGACCACTCACCAGTTCACACGTATATCCACCCCAAAGACCTTGATTACGGAACTCATATTCGCAGGAAGGTTAGCATACCGGGCTAATTCTGGAATGAGATTTTTCAATGTCATGCTTGCCACATATTACGCAAGAGGCTCTGTTTGGCATGCGCCCCGGAATTAAAACGCTTGCTGTACCATGGTCACAACAACGGATTCCTGATCCCATCCCCCGAGATACTTGGCCATGGAAGGTCTAATAAACTTAGAGTTTGCGATCGTGGCGCCAGCTCTACACAAATCCACGAGTATATAAGTAACACCGGCCCCTCATGTGTACGAAGGTTAGACCAATATCCTTGCAATCTCTCCTGGCCTTCATTGTGAAGTTAGTGGAATTGATGGCACGGTATGTTAGCACCTCTCTCTGTCTTCCACAAGACCCTTATAATTCATGGACCAGGAGTGCGGCCGACAAATATATCAGCCTTGCGAACGCACTGGAGCAGCTAGACCCTGCGGAGGTTGATCATGTCTACAACGAGCTTGAGCCAGTCGATCCCAATTCCTTGGAAGGTGAATGGGATATGCATGTCATTGATACGGGGCATCCTGCACAAGCGTTAGCGGAGGACATCCTTCCTCTATTGAGTACCATGGACTTCGATGAAGACGCCGAGAAGGTCAAACAGTGCTTGTGTTCTGCCGTTCAACATTTCTAACTAGCCATGGGTAGGTCCACAAAATCAAGTTCCACGGTGCTCCTGGCAATCTGGTCATCCCAGGTGATCAAGCATCAACGCGGCGTTTCCGCTACGTGGATGCAAGTACTATTGCCGCTACCAATGGTTACAGGGCATACTATGGTAATTCTGGTGTTCTTCATTTCTACCTTACCCGAGCAGAAGACCAGTGCTACATAGGTTGAGTTTCCTGGCAGTGGCCGGATATCCCTTCGCAATTAATGGTACACAAAGCTAGTCAATTATCAAATTCTGGAGCCACTCATTAAATGCGATATTCATATTGAGCGAAAAAACACCAATTTCTAATTTTTTTTATTTTTTTAGGGGGTAAGATTCATTATGGGCCTGCAATACATCGATACAACCAGGATTCATGGTCCTGGGATCAAGCTTGCAGTCTACCGATTTGCTCCATCAAATCATCATCAAGCCCCAGCTCCCTTGCCTTAACAAGCGCCGCATCTCGGGCACTTTTTGTGAGACACATACGTGGATGAGTAAGCAGCATGATCATAAGCGTGTGATTGCGCTGCCCCATAGCTTGACCCAATGGGGTCATATTGAAATCCCATACTTCATGAAGCTGCAGCAAGTTAATATCTGGGTGGCCGATCATAGCTTTGACGGCTTCCACGTGGTTCTCGCCGACAGCCAAAGCGAGGGCTGAATTTTGGTTGTAATCCAGCGCCGACAGGTAAATGGGCAAGCGAAGCAACTTTTTAACCATGTTAACATCATTCTTGTTCTTAACTGCATAGTGTAGAGGGGTATAGCCCGTAGCAGTTATCTGACGAGCCGCCTCAGGTGCTCTGGAGGCAATCAAGTCTATAATTTCATCACAACCCTTACCATGCCTTGCCAGACGATGTAATATGAACTCAAAGCCACTACGTGGCCAATTAGCTAAGAGACCAGGGGGCTCATCCAGGACCCTCTGCAGGAGATCGATGTCATCATACAGAAATATACTGTCGAGAACATTGGTATAGCCAAAGGAGCTTCCGGAGTTGACCAGCATCTGAATAATGGCTTTATGGTCGCGACAGCTGTAACTCAAAGGAGCGGGCATGATATAGTCAAGTGGCCTTGCAGCGAACCAGTAACCATTCAGACTGGGGGATGCAGTATACCTCAGCAGTAGCTCAACGCACTTAACTTGCATATGTACCACCGCTAGAGAAAGCAATGGGAACCCCGCTATATTGAGTCCATTGGGAAGCAGGCCCTCTTGAAGCCGTTTTTCGAGTCCTTGAACGTCACCCTTCTTTATCATGTCGACCACACCACCAGAACATGTGGGCTCGAAGAGGCACGTCGGCACTTCAAGGTCACAGATGCTTTTGCGGTATGCCAATGCCGTGTCCTCATAATTACCAATAGGCCGCGTGCGGTTAAACGGAAAAGGTTGTTCAAGGTCTTTCTTAGCATTATCTTTCATGATCTCGAAAAAGTCGGGCACATCCTGCAAATCGAGGGCTTTTCTCACCGGTAACCGGAGGCATTGTTCGAGGTGGAACAGGAGCTCAACCGGATAGTCTCTGAAGTTGTCACTACGCAATCGACTGCCGAGGTATACAATTTCCATGGCTTGAATTCCGCTGTCTAAGATGAGATTTGCGTGTTCGAGGGGGCTGGTAGGAGACAGGGCTGATTTTTGGGTATATTGCTTTTGTCGATGCTGAGTGTATAGCCATGAAGAGATCGCACTCGATAGCCCCATATATATGTAGAATTTATATTAAAGAATGAGAACTGACTAGGCTATGTTGTTAAAGAGTGATAGTCAACATTTGCCCCTAGTTGGCACTTATCGGCAGTGTCCTCTCGTCCCAGTTACGGCAGCGGTAATAGCCACTGTTATACACTTTGTCTTTGGCATTTCCTTGTTACAACATAGTTGTTTATGTCTCTCGATGCACATTAAATTTCAGCCGCTTTTGAAGTAAAAGACATGTCCCGAATGTCGTCAAAGGAATTTCCCTTCCTCGAAAGTTCAAAGTTAGGCACAGTTGTGGTTGAGACGCCATTGTTCTAGGTGTGGACTTGGAGGAATTATCCTTCAAGCATGGGCGTGAGATATTTAAACAGCCATCTTTTCCCGAGCAGAAATGAAAAAGGTTCCGCAATACTGCAGGTATATCCCAACCCTAGCAGGCTCGATAGGGCTAGGACACGGCAGCGCAGGTGCCTTGATCTCCACTGCGGGATGTCTCTTCATTTACCTCACACGATCTGTTATTGCGGGATATACAACTTTAATAGAACTTGAGTGGATGCTTATTTTGATGCCTAAATGATCAAGTGGCTACTAAGCTCAGATGGAGAGAAAATATGCACACCGGCGAATTAAGCTCAGAGAAGCTCATTAGCCTCGGAGTTAGCAGAGCGAATAATAGTGCGATGTTCGATGAGATCAGGTAATTCTATGACGATCGCATGTATCAGGTCTGCAGCTAGACTGTACTTGGACTGGTGAATAATATCTCGAACACACTGATCCCTGATGCCCTGCTGGAGTAATTCCACTTTTATCAGAGGGTATCTCCACGACGATCATCCATACCTGAAGTAGACTAGTCTCCGCAGCGCCGCCTTATCAGATCGGAGATCCACTCGCCGTTTGAAGCTTCTTTTGGAGTAACTATTCCCTGTCCATCTGGGGTACGCCCGGACGCTTATTCAGGGTTGTTGCACACAATGTACATACCAGGTTCAGATTTGGAAGTCATTTTATAAGTCTGTGTGATATCTGTTTAACACAACCATCAAGCATGAACTGATGACTATGGAACACTGCTCCTCAAACCACGAGAAGATGGAAACCCAATAGAACTAATTATCGGACATGACGAGTCTATGTCTATCCTCGGTCTTCATCTCTGAA